GGACAAGCAGAAAAAAGGACGAGGTTCCGTAAAAAAACTCTCAACTTCAAACCAATATAAACAACCAAAGGATCAGATCGTTATCGCGCATTGTAAGACAGATGAGTGCCACGAAAGAGTTTCACACTGCAGCGACAGCACAAACTAGCTACTGGGTTGGGCGTTTTTTTCTTATGCGAACTTTCGTATGACAACTGATTACCGTTTCCAATGTTTCCATGCTGACTGACAGCCGCTCTGCAAGATTGGGTGGTAGCCGCCTAGTGTTTCTTAATTTTTATAAATATTTTATCATTGAATGGAGTGCCATTAAAAGGAAATGAACTATTAATAGTATAAAGAGTTAAATGGAATGAAGGAAAGAGAAAAAGTAAGAAAATGAAAAGGTAAGTAAGAACCAAGTGTGGGTGGTTCGTTTCGCCTCTTCCTCAGACGAACCACTTTGTGTACGTTAGCTCCTGAGGCTCTTCAGTGAGTTGGTGCTGACGATAAATGCGTGTTAAGAACACAGGTCGACACAAGTGTTGGTCTGACAACAACTTTTTGCCCTTAATCTAGGTTGTCAGCTTGCAGATGAAGCTCAAAGCATGTGATGCATTTGAAGGAGCAACGGTTCTTTCCCAGAACGTCTTCAAAATAGTTCAAGCGATTGGAAATTAGGACCTTGTAAATGTGCAATGCATGGGGCGCTCTCTTGGGAACTGACAGCCTGCTGAACCCATCCAACAAGTTTCGAACCTCTCCCATCAAGAGAAGGTGATGCTCAGTGAGAACGTGGAATTCTTCCATGACACCTAACATTTCCCCATTTTTGGCATGAATCTCCATGAATAAGGTGTTTAATAAGTTATTAGGTTCGATGCTTCTCTAGGAGGTCGAAACTGAAATCTTTGAATCTCTTAAACCGTTATAAGTATTTCTAAGAAACATAGCTACTCGACCAAATACCAAGCAGATAGCTCTGTGTGGTTTTAGCTTTTTAATGAGATGAAAAAAAATAGGCGATGTCGAATATGCTCAATTTTCTCGAACTGTCACTCCAATTTGAGCGCTTACAAATTAGTGCAAAGAGATTCTTCAAAGATTAGGAGGGCTATGCTATAGGGTGGAGAATACTCTGCATGCTAGTATAAAAATCAATGGCAAAAAAGTTCATTTTTGGCTCAAAATTCCAAGTGAGAAAAACGCTATTACTTAAGAGCCAACGCAATACAATTGCTTAGTTTTGTCGGTAAACATGATAAATGTTTTAAACAGTAGAGTGAATGCCGCGCACTGGACGCTACTTCCTACGTTCCTTCAGCCGCATCGCCGTAACGTAGAAATGTTGCATTGTACTCAAGACAGACGAGCCAAAGTGCATTTCAAGCGTTATGGATTACTCGAGTAAGCTTTGAGATCATTGTCAGAACGGCTAAAAAAAAACGAAAGCTCTGTAAAGATGAAATAAAAAAGAGCCAGAAAATCAGAAGAAGAACGAAGGGTCGGATGAATGGTTGCAAAGTTGAACCTTCTGGCGGCATCTTCTCTGATTCAGCGTTTAAAGCACATCCTGCTGCTTCCACGTCTAGAAAAAGACTAAAAGGCGGGATGCCAGTATATGCCGCTATTAACATAATAATGCTAAATAGATAAAATAGAACAAAGAAAAGGTAAACAAATAACCAAAGAGAACATAAACCAAAAAGGCTAGAAACAAAACAACAAAAATAAAAAAAATAAAAACACAACAAAGAATTAATAAGAAAAACAAACAAAAACATACCTAAACTACACAAAAAAAACAAAAAAAAAAAAAAGAAAAAAAAAATAATGCTACAATGTTTCCCGCGTTCGTTTTTTGAAATAACCTGAAATTCGTTGCCGCCTCCAAAAAAAACGACCCTTTCAAATTTAAGTCTCTGATTAACGCACAGATGGATGACAACAATATTAACAAGAAAGCCATTAAAATGTTACTGAACGAATTAGCAAGGGACATGCCAAATATCTCAGAATAAACAACTGGTTGAAACTGTGAAAAATTAGAGCTGCTGACAACACTGCGTCCTGGCTGAACTTACTACAAGAATCAAACTCACTTGCTAAATGATCGTGAAGGAAATGCAGTAATTTGTGGGATCCATTGCTTTCGTGATAAATCTTATTGATCTCAGGAGACAAAGGATTCCCTTGGAGACCTGAAAGGGCACCAAGATCACGTAAAACTGCCTTTCTATTACGCTAACAGCAACATAAACGTAATAAGTCTGTGCTTTTGCTCACACTTACCAGCTTCTACATAGTAAAACGACGTGAACCGCCACGCCTTCACAGTGGAAAGACGGGCCATCATTGTTAATGGAGAGAAGCTGGATTCCAGTATGGCTCAAATGGAGGGAGAGAACCTGGAGACGAAGTGTTGCAACTGAAGATGGGCCTGGGGAGGAGATCGGTGGCCGAGGCTAAGGCTTGAACGAGCGCAGACGACGAGGTCCTAGTCTCGGGCACAGAGCGTACATGGGTCTCCCCAACGGGAGATGGGTAACATTTGGACGCTGAAGGGAGTGGAAGGGTCGCACTTCTCTTTGTGAAGGGTTCCCGGTTGTCGACTTTTCGAGGTTTTTCCCCATTTTACGTGCACCATCTCCCCTCTCACTGCTCCACGGCAATTTGCTGAGGGAAGAACTGGAGGACTTGCAAAAAAAAAACTCCGAAAAAGCGAAAGAAAGTAAAGAGAAGAATTCATGGATATGGTAGGAGGGATAGAAGAGTGGGAAGGAGAGGGAGAGGACTAGAGCAGAAAGTTTTGAGGGAGAGGGAGGGGGAGGGGAGGAGGAGCGTAGTTTGCAAAATTTTCCAACGTCAAGACGTGCAACACTTGCGCACAAAGTAATATACGTTCTGTTGTGACCCCCTCTCCCAACTAGACTATGAGTTACTTTGCCATGTAGGGCTGCATACATTACTCAAATCGGCTGTCAGAATGGTCAAGGAGGGCATGATTACATGAAAATTGTTATCAACCCTATCAAATGAAGTTTTCCAGCATGAAAATCATATACAGTACTAACCCTTTGAGAAAAAGTCACTCTGAAACAATTCAAAGAAGCGATAATAAAGAAACTCACCCAATGTTTGTATCCTAAAAAGCTTTCCAAGCTCGTATGGTAAAACTCGGAGTTGATTGTGGTTAAGATAGAGGTGGCAGAGCGATATCATATCACCCAACTCTGCCGGAAGGCTCCTTAGCTTGTTATGAGATAGATCCAACATTGTCAAATTCGTTAACTAAACAAAGAAGATTTTAAAATAATATGTGACATTCAATATCGATACACAAAATGAACTGGAGTAGTGTGTAGTTCAATAGGGAAATTCGGTCCCCTACCTGTGATATTTCAGGCGGAACACGCGTCAATTGATTGCCGTTCAGAAATAAGGCGGATAAGTGACTCACTTGCCATAACGCATTTGATAGGTTACGAACTCTACCTGAACAAAAATATGCCGATTAAAAGCTACACTGCAAGACTTACTTCTCAAGCGCTCTCACAATGAACGGCTTTGACACCTTTGAGCTTTGACCTCAGATACCGCCTATTAAACCTAATTAGTCTAATACCTCAAATAATTTTCCTTAGTGCAGTGTTTTCAACGGAAGAGCTCGTCACGTTAAAAGAAAATTTAGTCATTACAAGGGTGCTGGGTTATGGCAAACAGGCGCTCACTGCGAACATGAAAAATTCTCCAAAATACGACCCCCCCCCTTAATTTTATTTGGTACCTCTCCATCATCATCACCATCATCATACCTATAATGTCTTCCATTTCTTTCCGAATTCCCTACCGCTTCTCCTACCGAATCTCAACAGCTGAAAACATTACTCACAAGGCATATACGACCCCCTTCGCTAAGAATTCCCGACGTGCCTTAGTGGCAAACCTTGAGGGATTACTCGGTAGGGACATGGTACTTTGTTAAGGCCTGTCAACATTCGGGCGATTTTGTAAAGTTGTTCAAACTCTTGTGAAGCTAATCGGGTGGCATTACAGACAAACATCATGATTGAATATTGTGGGCTGTAGTACTCAATAACGAGCCCATACATTTGAGACACTTTCCAAGGAGGAAAAAGCAAAAACAAATCATCAAGAACACTTTAGTGAGGACCCCTCTGGCACCCCACTGTACAAGTTCCCAGGCCTCTTTTCATGACACCGAAGCTATATCCTGCTGCCTCAGGCTCACTAATCGTTTCTTTGCTTCATCTGAAGCTAGATACGGTTTAATATCGAAAAAAAGAACAAAAACACAATCAAGAAACGAAACTAAAGATAGAAAATAGCCTTCGATTTCGGCTTGTGCAAAACTGGGATTTGGGAAACACTATCCGACGAACTACTGCACCAATGTAACCACGTTATTAGCTAACTGAGCGCATGTAACCTTTCGAGATGGATAGTATTTGACTGTATGTGCTCCTGATGAGAGATTTTAAAAGAGGAAAGAATTCTCATGAGCAAGAGCGCGATCAGCAAAAACAGACACACCATTAGAATTGCTATCCACTGCTCCACCAAATAACAAGCGAGCCCCTTACGTGGACTGTATGGGGGACATTCGTAGACAGGGGGTCCATCTGAGCAGGTGTCAGAACTGGATTTTCGACGGCACTAGCATTCTTCTCTCGCTCTGTGAAGTCGCGAGAGTGGAAATCAGTTAGTCTGCGAGCTGGACTAATTGTACAAGTAGTTATGAATATGAATTAATTGAACGTGGAGTATGTGTTCACATTTTTGTGAGAGCAGCGCACTGGATTTGTAAACAAGTAGAACAAGCAGAACAATGGAGAGGGAGAGGTGCGAAGAAACGGTCGGCCGCTATGGAATGGGGACATCTATTTTTCATGAACAAGGTTTCCCTGCGTAGGGGCTCCTAAACCCCTGTCTAGGCAAGAAAACTCATTCCCTGGCTCACAATCCTTTCTTCGCATCTTCTTGCCCAAATGACTTATGATAAGACAGAAACAAAGGAGAAATGGCATGGAAATGAAGCTCGTACCAGTCCGTAGCTTTATAAGAACTCACAAGTTCTTATAAAATGAAATGACTCACCTTTTCCGAATTTAGCAACATATCTCCCCAACGATTATCCGACTAATACTAAAACTGATACATGACGCGATACCCAATCCCGCGACTATATTTCCTGGCTCAGCAATTTTTTTCTATCGTAACAAGGAGTCCTTCAAGGCGCTTCCGTTTCTACAATTTCGTGAACGGGCAAATTCAGTAGCTAAGGCTTTCCAGGTTCGCGTCATGTTTTCACGTGGTATATCAGTTGGAGGGTACTCTAGCTACTCAGACAAACTGTACACTCGCCTACGAGGATGGGCCTTGTCATGTGGACGTGAATAGGTCTGAAGTATCCTGCTTTCTCCGCTCGAAAATGCGCTGAACGGTAATGACACCCGAGCGCAGTCTCCCTGCTCCGCCCGCGGTGTCCTTCCTCCTTCACCCACAAATGCAGCACGTGCGTCAATACCAATATCCCGCAGCGAACACAGTCAGCGCGAGAGAACAATCGGAAAAAGGGGCGCAGAGAAATAGCGCGTTTGAATATTTGAATACGGTAAGACATGTGGCTGGCCGTGCAGCAACTTGGAACAAAGTCGGGAGACGGCACCAGGTTGTCAGTACCTCCAGCCGGTGTCTGTACACTTTTAGTGAAGAAAGTGGCACGCTTCTGCAGCTGCGGACCCATTCATTTCGCACATGGCAGGGATCAAGATCCACGGAGCTAAAAGAACAGTTTGTGGTGCACTTCGGCGATGAGGTGGAGGGGCATTTTGTACATTCGTTGCTTCGCATTGTCGCATTTATTGCTTCACAAGAGTAAACATGTATTCATTACGAGATTTACTTACTTTCTACAAACACTGACTGGTATCATTCCCTCGCTCCACAGGGTTTCACAGGTCTCTCTCTACTGGATGGATTGATAGGACAATGCAAGCAGCGAATGTACAAAATGCCCGTCTCGCCGCGCTCCCCTCGCCCCTCCCCACCGTCGCCTAACTGCGCCCACTTTGTCACGGGGATCTTTTTTAAAGAACCGGTCACTACTTATTCAAAAGGAGATTATTCAAATTTGTTAGGAGAAAACATAGGCATAGAAGATACATATGAAAGTCACCAACAGGCACTGGCAGAGGAGCACAGTAGAGTTGTGGAAAGTTGGGGTAGGTTGCTTCTTGAGTCTAGCGCTCAGGCTGGCTGCGATTGTAAAGACTGGAAGGAATGCCAGAACCCCTGACTGCAATGTTTCCACGATGTACGGTTTTGTCATCTTTCCCTTATTCAATGCCAGGTGAAGAATTACAGACTAAAACCAAAAATAAAAAGTCAGCGGTACACGACAAAAAAAATTCAACCAGACAAATGTATTAAGAAATCAAAATCATTAGAAACGCAAAACTTGACAGCTTCATACACGCTTGTAATAAAAAGGATAATGTACTGGACGTTGAAGATAAAGTTTTCGGTGTTGTTCAATCCCTTCTTGGGATACGGCGCGCATTCTACTTAGACTCAGAGTTGTAGGGGTTTACTGAATGCGAGGCCTACACGATGACTTACTGGGCCAGGCGATGTACAAGTCCATGTTTTGTCCAGCTTTCCTAGAAAGTAGTAGGCCCGATTGCCTTGGACAGAAGCCGATTCGACTAAATTCGAGTCACTAGCGCAAGTTTACTTTTACCCCTCAACTAAATTCGTTATAGACTTACATGACGGGCGAACTCATAGTCCTCAGAATCAAAATGACATTCAAATTTTAAGGCAAGCACCAATTAGCAGGAACTTGACGCCTGTGTCAAAAATGGGGCCATATTTCTGATTACCGACCTCAGCTACCCCGTCCCCCTGCCTAGCTTCCTACGATCTATAAAAGAAACGCTGGCACGAAGTTGTTGCCATCAATGAAAATGTATGTAACTTCCGTAACCAAGACGCTATCGCTTACAGACAAAAATATTAGAGAAAAATTGGCATTCCAAAGTTGTTACTGTAGAATAACAGCAAAATCCAATAGAAAAATTGATGGACGGAATTTTCAAGATCTCAATCAGATCCTTACTGATATATGAGTAGCTCAGAAAGCATTCATACTTTGCAGCGTTTTGAGCGCCTGCCAGTAGCTTGAGCGTTTTCGGCGTTTTGAGCGACTAGGAAAGTATAGGTAACGATCCAGCGTGTTGAGCGTTTAGAACGTCAGTGTTCCCAGCGTTCACCACAGTTTTGAGCCAAAGTCGATACCTCTACTTTCTTCTTGGTTGGTGAGAACATTGGTGGATGCTCAAAATGCTGATGGGCGGTCAAAACGCTGGATCGATAACTACACTTTTCTTGTCGCTGAAAACGCTGACGGACGCTCGAAACGCTCAAAGCGCTAACGCGAAGTATGAAGGCACTCTCAAGAATACTGTTCCAGATACGGGTAGATTCTCAAAGACTGTCTTTCAAGGGAACGGTGGAAGCTTCGTGTCTATTATCCAAATGAATTAAAGTATGACATTTGCTGATTGAAAAGAGCGGCGTTGCAACAGAACACTAGAATAAAACTAAAATGAAAAGGAATTATGCACTAAAACATCATTTGCCTGAAATGGCAACGTTCACATTGTTTCATCTTTACATAAAAGTCGTATTGACCATAGTGAATTGATTTCGTCCCTGTTGAATGTGCTTGAACAGATGCCAGGAGTTGAAGAACATTATGAAAAACAGGAAACGAAAAACGGAAAAGAAAATTACCGTGAATTTCGAGCTCAGTCCAACGTGTCGTTTTTCCTTGATTAATTTCATCCTCAGATAAAATCCGATGAACTCTGCTCATGCCATTAGTTAATACTTTCTTTCCATCATTGTTTTCAACTTTTGTCAGAGGAAGTCCGGCACCCCCTCCCTGTTTGTCCTTATATTCTCCACTTCCGTTTAATTCCCCGTTTTGCATGGTGCCTGAAAGCCGATCGTTAAAACATTGAAAGGACAATGAAATAATGATGCAATAACAAGTGGTTTACACCTCATAAACAGAAAACACTAACAAAATCAAGGTCAACAAAAATTGATTTAATGGACCTATAGATCCCCGATAAAACTAGTTCCTGAATCTACGTGTACTAGACAGAATCATATCAACTTAAATTCTTGCTTAACACAACACACTAAGAGGCTATATGGGGTGGAATGGAATAGTGGCCGTCATGAGAACCTAAAGACCTAGCTGTAGATCAGGAATTCCATGTCGATGAACCCGAACCATAGACAAAACAACCATGCTTTAGTTTAAAAAGATGACCGACCACATTCGCAGGAACCTGGGGGTCGCGAGCGGTCGCGTCGCGGTGGCTGCGCATCTAAGGGTACGGTAACCGTTGTGGTTTCCTTCGCAACGGTGTGGGGGAAGGATTGCTGTTGCGAACATCGACGGGAATTTCGTTGACCCAGGGCCAAAGTGAAATCTGAGAGAAATCTCTCCAATATCTCCTGCCCATGCGGGCTCCCATTTGGGCCACTGTGGCGATATCTGTCTGGAACACATCGATCTTTTGTTCTCGTTAATCTGCCCCTTATCATTAACCAAGCAACCCTGATATGGGGCCTTACTTAATCTTAAAAAGCTGTGTATACTTATTTATATGTGCTCTTTAGCTTCCTTGCAGTATGAGTTGTGTTAGTATCGTTGGCGTTGTTAATCCTCCTTCACGCTTTTTTCGATAACTAATCCGTTTTAAGTTCCAGGCGTGACGCTCACTATTGGATGGCTAACCCATCCAATGTTATACCCCAAAAAGTGGGGTTTCCTCAAGCATTTGGCAGTACTCCATATCAACATGCCACACAGTTCTCACAATTTGGACAATCGCCAGCTTCAGCGCCAGCCAACCAGCCCATGTGGGTTTTCACTGGAATTGTCTTCACACATTTTGCTACGGACTTTACAAAAGTGTTGCTTGTATCGCTTGCCTGGGCTTCTGCAGTAGGGAGTGGGTGTTTTGGCACCGACCCAAGGAACTTAAATGCAGTCCTCGCGATCAACCAGCACGGGCGTCTTCAGTGTTCGAGTAGTCTGGTTCGCAGGCTCTGGACTGTCCTACTTTTGCGGCTCCTCACTAAGTAACAGTGCTGCTGCGGCTTCCATGAATAGCAGTTTCGACACCTCCCTATTTGTCCAGCCCACTGGAACTGAGAGGCAGTTTCTGTCACGAGTTCGGTTTTTTATCGTGTTCTTCGTTCCCTTTTTTATGCTAGCTGGTATTAGCAGTGGATGAGGTTATTGCAACAGAAGCAGCAGAATCGCTTTTCTGGTCCCGCCATGAAGCGAGGCGGTCTGGACAAGTCATACAGTGAGTCTGTCTGAGGTTCTTTCTTACTGTTAAAATAACATCTTCATGGTTTTCCTAGCTTAGCTATCCACAATCTGCAATCGCGGGATTTGTGTTTGGAGCTATAACGAACTTTTTTTAGTCTAATGTTCAGGTCAGCAAACTTTTCTTCTTGATGCTCGACTATAAAAGGAGCTCCACAGTGGTTGGGTGGTTTTACCTACCCGTTATTATCCGATTTCTAAAGTCCTGTATACAGGCAGAGAACGGAGGCTCTCAAAGCCTGAGAGGTGCAGAAAACGGGATAGGCTTTCCAAGTGAAGAGGACTCTGTGATGTGTGATCCACTTATATGTCTGAAAAACTGGATCTATGGAGTCCCAGCGCTCATAGAACCCCATGCGGACAAAACAGTGCAGAGGAAAACAGGGAATTGTCGCCGCTAAAGGGATTGAATTCAAGTAAACCAGAAGCCTTTCTGTCATAATGTGCTCGATCAGGTCATCCAGCCTCCATTTGTGCGCTCGTCCATCATTTCACTGTTCTCATGGTTTGCTAGATATGGATACTGAGCTGATAGAGGATTCGTTAGCTGTTTTATAATGCTCTCATTTAGACGACCTTCAATGTCTTGTTTTTTTTGAGTATTCCAATATTTTGGGCTGTACATTTGAGAATTTCTTTGACGTATTCACATTCTTCGAAATGCAGTGCCTTAGGAATTCGGTTAGAGTCCGCTTGTTATGGATGCTAGGGCTTGTCAAAAGGGTTGGTTGGTGTGGCGTCAACCCTTTCCCATTAACTGTGGAGGGGAACAGAAACAGTAAGTGGTAGAAACCGAGTTGGCGCGACGTCAGCCCCTGACGCACGCGGGAGCCGCAGCGAATGAGACTTTTAACGAATTAAAGCCAGTGAATTCGACAACTACACCACACCTCCGGGGCATATTACCGCCTGCGCGATGATGATGATCTGACCCATTGGAAGGCTTGCTTACTGCTGGAACACCGAACAAAGGACTAAGAGACGAAACTGAAATCTTCAAAAAACTGGCGTGCCAAAGGAGCGTTGGATACTGACACCGTTACACAGTGTGCTGTGTGCCTTCTCTTTCAAGATCCCTCCACGACACAACAGACAGGAAGCCTGTTCAAGTTGAGATGTGACCAGTTTCATGGCTCATAAATATGGAAATCGTGCTGGTGGCACATATTTATGCCGCGGTTGCAACAAACTTGTTCTTGTTGCGCGAGAAACGAAGAGCTCCCTTCCGTAACTGTGAAGCGTATAGCTAACTAAGCTAACTATCTCCTCCTTTTCAGTGGGAGAAACATTTGTTCGTTGAATATGAGTCGTTGAAGGCACTTGGCACGATAAATATCCAAGTAGGACTAATACGCGTAGCAGGACTGAATTCGGCGCCCCTGAGCAAGTGCTGCGGAGCGTCTTTTCCAAGTAAGGTACCCTTACAGCTCCCTATCAAGCTGGACTTTATCGAAGCCCGGGACATATCGACCCGGACGCCCACCGCGCCCGCCCGCCCACAAATGTCCGACCGATGCTGATGCTCGTATCGCTTCATTTGCGAAGTACAATATGAAGCGAAGGGATTGATATGAAGCGGCTGCAATGCTGCATGTATATATGACTACATACACGCAGAAGTATCTACCGTAGCTGTTGGCACGATGCCAGCGGGAAACTCCCGAAACTGCTTTCTGAATCGGGTAAAAAGGCTTTTTGCAGAATTTTGACAGTTTCACTTCGCTGTTTCGCCACATTCGCACTATTTTAGCACCCTGCTATACCATTTCAGACAGAGTACAAATTATAGTGCCAGCTACCTTTGAAACAGAGCGATGTTCTCTGGAAAGATGGCGCGAACTGAGAGCGCAACATTTAATTCATACGATGTGCTCGGCTCGCTCTCTACGCATTCGTGCTTCGAAGTGGTGAAGAATTCGCGGTTTTGACGAATCGGCGATTCATAACGAGCGACGAGGGAATATATGTATCGTTCGGGCGAGTCTGTTAGGGGGGGGGGGAATCAAAGGTAGCTAATTGGTTAATCCCCCCAATTGCTTTTCGGTATCCGCGATCCGTGAGAACTGGCAACAAAAAGCGGGGTGGGAATCGATTGATGGTGTTCCTCTCGAATCGTGAATTCTCAGCTCTCGCAATATGTGGACGTGGCTTCTCTCGTTGTGCAACAAGAACGCTCTTTCCTTGTACATCATCGTTGTGGAATTCAAATCAAGCGTCGCATGAAGTCAGGGGAAGTGCTCTCGTTGGAAGGGCGGCATTGGTGTATTTAGTTGTAGGAACTTTCAGAAAATTGAAGATTTTCAGTAGTTATCGGAATAGTGCTGAGTCATGATCATAACTCAGACCCCAGACGTCACTGAAACCCCTATCTCCCGCTTACCGTGTTTTGTCTTTGTGAAATCTCGATATTATTGTAAGCTTTCTAGTTTTCGTTTTATTGTGCTCAAAAAATTGTTGGTTGAAACTATCCATAGAAACTGGTCTCATATTTTGACAAAATCGTCGTACTTGTCGTACTCATTGGCCGGTCACCTTCACATAAGCGGAACGTCACCAGTCGGTTTTTTTAACTCAAAGTTAACTCGCTGGATCAGCCTATGAGGACGACAGTCTTGTCCAAAAGTC